CATTTTTTCTTCTAAATTCTAAAAAAATCACACTCATCAATCCATATCCATCTCTCTTACTCTCTAATCTCTATTCTCTCATTCTCTCAAATTTCAATATCTCAATCTATCATTTTAATTTTCAATCTTAATATCTTATTATCTCTTTTATACATTTTTTTTAAATATATTATATTTTAATATAAAAAATTTCGAAATTATTTGAAATTTTCGAAATTTAATATTTCTTTAATATCAAGAAATATATAATATATATTTTAAATATATTCTCGAATCGGAGCACTACATGAATGCAACAACAGATGGAAGTCCGAGTTCTGAAGAATAAGTTATAATTTTTTTTGTTAATGTAAATATGTAATTAGTTTTTTTTAGCTGAGCGATATATAAGCTCCTTCGAGGGTTTCTTTACGGTTCTTTACCTCGTCGCTTTTTTTGAACCGTCAGGATATTAAATGTGGTTGTTCTTCAGTTAGTGTATTATTCATTTAAAATATTTAAATAACAACTACATTTTTAGATAACAACTACATTCCAGTACTTCATTCATTACTTAAACAATTGCAAATTTAAAATTTTATACTTAAAAATTTTAAAAAAAGCAAAAAATAAATAAATAGGGGGGGAGCGAAACCGGCCGGTCCGGTACCGGAACCGCCGGTCCGGGAACCGGAACCGGTACCGGCCGGCACGGTGACGGTTCCGGTGACATGGGGTGGCGGTACCAGAACCGGCGGTTCCGGAACCGTACCGGAACCGAAACCGTACCGTGTCCACCCCTAGGTAGAGGTAGTAAGAAGCAAATCATTTCAGGGGACAAAGGAAATTAGAAATGATGTACCCCACCAATGAAAGAATCTTTCGAATTTGCACTTGCCCAGTAGTGTCCCAAGTACTCCAAAGTCCAACCTCAGATTGTCCAATCAAAGATTTCTTTTCTACATTCAGATTGTCCTTTCCCACCTTCATCCCCCTGATGAAATCCTCCAATCTTATCTATCATGTGGAGGTATTTGGATTAACATTTGTAATTAGTATTTTAATACGAGTATTAAATTGATTTTTGAAAATATTACTGTAAGATTTTATAATGGTAAACACTTCCCATTTTCATCGTCTGTTCAGTGTCTGTAGGGTCTAGAGTTAGTGATGATGACCCTGGCTTAATTCCCTTTTTTTTTTAATTTAAACCAAATATGCCCACAGCCCTAGAATAGAAGACACAGATCACGCTAAATTCATCGAATCTATCATCTATGTCTTGCTTTGTTGAATTCTGGGAAAGTTCCTTCACTTAAGGAACACAGAAGCTGCAAAAGCCCGTGACCATTTTGCCCTTTCTCTAGAGTTCTTGAAGACATGTGAGTTGACTTTACAGCACTTCAATCCCCCATTGTCTTCAAGAATCTGTGCTCTGTGATGGGTTTTTAGTAGATTCTGAACTCTTTCTTGCGTTAACATTTTGGGATTCATTTAACTGATCCAAACCCAGATTTGATTGGTATGATCTGAGTGCATAACTGAAACTTTGATTTGTGAGCTTATTTTTTCTGAAACAGGTTTGATTTTTCTTTATCTTTTGCAGCTCAACTGCAGAGATTTTGGGTGTCAATTTTTTTTACCATTACAACTGTAGTATTGTTTGGGCAATTGAGCTAAACATGGTGGACAATGGGTATGAGTTTTCCTCACCATTGAGCTTCCCTTCATCTTCCTGCGTGTCGAACGGTAGCAGCGGGGCCCCACACGAGGCCAAGAGCAATCTTGAGCTGTTGAGCTTGAGCAAGCTGAGCAATGGACTTGAGAGGCTGCTGGTGGAAACTGAGTTTGGGCTCTACTGTGATTGGGAGATAGTGGTGGAAGGTGTTCGGGTTGGCGTGAACCGATGCATCTTGGCTGCGAGGAGTCGGTTTTTCCACGAAAAGTTCAAAACCGCAATGGCCGAAGGGAAGCCTCCCAAGTTTGTGATGACAGACCTGTTGCCACGGCCTCTGGGTTGGGTCGGTTTTGAAGCTTTTGAGGTTTTGTTAAACTATTTGTACACCGGGAAGCTTAAGGCGTCTCCTCCCGAGGTCTCGACGTGCGTGGACGAGTCGTGTGTTCATCTCGCTTGTCGCCCCGCCATCAACTATGCCGTTGGCCTCTTATATGCCTCTTCCACTTTCCAAATGAATGAGCTTGTCATGCTTCTTCAGGTCACCTTCTCTCCCCTATGCTATTGTATTGATTGCAAGAGGATTAGTTTATGTTTAGAGTATAAAAAGCATTCTCTGGACATTCAACCACAAGTTTGAGCTTTTTGTCGAGTTGGTTCCTTAACATTGATAAAGACATTCTCTGGCATCCAACCACAGACTTTAAGCTTTTGATTGTGTTGGAGTCATATCCAACATTTGCTATATTTGAATGAATAAATGAATGAACTCCTTAATAACTATGAAGTTTTACATCACCTCTTGAGAGCTATTTTAGGACAAGTTCACACGAATATTATCCGTAACAAGTTGATTCATTGACAATTTTTATGCGCGAATGTGTTTTTGCAGCACCATCTCGTCAACTTAGTCGATAAGGCTCTAGCAGAAGACGTGATTCCAATCCTCATGGTGGCGTATCACTGCTCGCTCACCCAACTTCTTGAGCGTTGTCTTGAGACGTTAACGTGCTCTGATCTTGAGAATTTCACTCTGGAGAAAGAACTCCACTGTGAAATCTTCAATAACATCAAAGCGCGCAGACTCAAGTCTCAACAACAACAACAACAACACACTCTGCAAGCGGAATCTATAAGGGAGAAGAGAATCAAGAGAATCTTAAAGGCTTTGGATTGCGACGACGTCGACTTGCTGAAGCTCCTTTTAGCGGAATCCACGGTCACGCTTGATGATGCGTGCGCTCTTCACTACGCGGTGGCGTATTGCAACCCTAAGGTCGTGATGGAAGTGCTCGGGCTATGTTTGGCTGACGTCAATCTCTTTAATCCTCGGGGGTACACCCCCCTCCACCTGGCCGCTAGGCGTAAGGACCCGGCGATCATAGTGGGACTATTGAAGCACGGAGCATCCGTGGGGTACGGACATGATGTTGTTGCAACTTGTCGAAGGGTCACACGCCCTAAGGATTATAACGAGCCTACGAAACAAGGGCAAGAAACGAACAACGGCCGGCTATGCATTGACGTGTTGGAGAGGGAGATGATGAGTCGGAATCCGGCGGATGCGAGTTTGTTCCTTTCGTCATCTACTGTGGATGATGAACTGTTTATGGGGCTTTACCTCCTTGAAAATAGAGGTGCAGAAAAAAAACCTTCTTTCTTTGCGAGTGAAATTTGCAGTAAATAGTACCAAAGCATTAAATATCGGATTCGTGTGACAGTGGCATTGGCAAGACAGTTATTCCCTCGAGAGGCCAGACTAGCAATGGAACAAGCAGAAGCAGATTCAACCTTGGAGTTTGCCGGGCTTTCATCAACGAATGGGCATTGTGGAAATCCGAGAGGCCGCGTGGGTTTCAACGATTTGCCATCTGATCAAGTCAGGAAACTCAAGGACCGCCATGAAGCCCTGCAAAAGACTGGTAATTTATTAGAGTATATGACATTTCCTGTATGTTACATATATATAGTACTCCATACATATACGTTAGCCAAAGCGCATGCGCGAAATGAGAGACTATATAACCTTTCGTGGCCTACAATCACATGTTCGAACCTCACCGTCACCCAGTTTTAAAAAAACCAAGGTTTACATGCAAGCCTACGGGGTCGTGCTAGAGTTTAAAAACCTTTTTTTGGAGTCACAACCACAAACTTGAGTTTTTTGTTGAGTTGGTTCCTTGACAGGGCCTGGATTTTCTAGTTCAATCTAACATACGGAGTATTATTTATCTGCATTATAATCATTTCTGTTTTGAATGACGATGGGGATGACAGTGGCAACGGGGCAACGTTTCTTCCCGAACTGCTCGAAAGTTTTGGACCGGTTACTGGAGGACGAAGTGCTAGAGTGTTTGATGCTAGAAAGCGGGACGGCGGAGGAGCAGAGGTTCAAGAAGGCCAGATACATTGAGCTCAAGGAAGAAGTTCACAATGCCTTTGTCAAAGACAAAGCTGAGCACAAATGGTCACTGTCACATCACACTTCTTCTTCCTCTTCAACTTCAACCAAGTCCCAAAAGGTCAGAAAAAGATATAGGCCACTTGTAAAACACTAGAGTAATGAAATTTACTCTCCCTCCGTCTCAGATTATTCGTCTATATTATTTTTGACATTATATATTGACAGTCTTTGCCACATAGAACAAACTAAAGTTTCATATTGTATATAGGACATGTTTTAGCCCACAATAAACACATGTTAGTTTGTACCAATTTGTACAAGATGCCATTTTCAATGAACAAATTGTGAGAGGGAGGACACCAAATCTTTAGCCACAAAAGGAGCTGTAGTGTCCACAACCATGGACACAACATCATCATCCCCGACATCATAGTCCCAGCAGCCGCCGTACCTCTCCATAAGACACTCTATATCTTGCCACGTGGACGGCTTGTTACAGCTCGACCCGGCCCGAGCCTCGACCCGCCGGCGCCACTCGGCCTCGTCCTTCGGCCTGCACTCGACCACGGCCACCCGGGCGCCGAAACGGGTTGCGAGCCCGAGTAAGCGGTCGAGGCGGGCCCGGTTGGAGAGAGGGGAGTCGAGTATGACGCCGAGGCCCAGGTCGAGCTGGGCCTGGGCGACGGTCCACATGGCCTCGTAGGACAGCTCGTTCAAAAGGTCGGCGGCCGCGGCCGGGGTGGAGTGGCTGAGGAGTGCGAGTTGGATGGCTTGGGTACAGTCACGGAAATGGTCTTTGTCCAAAAGGGGGAGATTTAGAAGTCTGGCTAAAGAACGGGAAAGAGTGGTCTTGCCCGTTCCGGGATGGCCTTTCATTGCTATGATGATTGGTTTTGTCTCTGGTTTTTGGGTATCCATTTTGGGGGGAGGGATATCAGATGACAAGCAGTAATTGGGTTTGGGTTTGGATTGATCCAAGCGAGTTGATCACTAGGGAGCAATAGCGGTTTTTGATGTGTCCTCCAGGTGTCGTTTTTGTACAATTGAATATGAACGATAAATGTTAGTGTCAACTGTAATCAATGTTTACCGAACTTTGTGTTGCATGTTTTTATTTACTTCCCTTCCTCCCTAAATATATCTTACATTTCTATTATCGAGATAAAATATCAAGTTTTTTCAATTTATTTTATTTACATATTGGTATAGAAATAAAAAACAAAATTTAGATATCAAAAAATTATATAAAAACTTCTTCGAAATAAGGGGTGTCAAGAATAATTTATTTTATTAAATAACCAATGAAAACGTATAAATAAACAAAAGTTCTAGCGATTGCGGGAAAAAAAAATGTGAGATATATATTTAGGGACGGAAAGAGTAGGATTTTGGCAACAATGCCCCACTTCTTGTCACAGACATATGCATCAATTTTTTGTGCAAATAGTGACAATTGATGTCTCTGTGTGTCCGTGACAAATATGGTATACACTAGTAGTTTTTTCTTTTATTTATAACTTGAATTTGATAAAACAAAATATTTTTTCCACTATTTTTTTGTTGAAATTTTGATATAGCTTTTTAATATATAATTTTATTTTTTATTGTTATACTAGTTTATAAATTATATCATTTCAAAAAGAAAAATTATTGTAAATAACCCCAAATTTACTCAAGCTCTAAAAAAATATTCTCACCTCTCACTATGATATACTTTATCCGTTCCATAAAACTTTTCAAAGACGAATAAAGACGCGCTGTAAAAATGAGTCATTTTGGGACTCTTTCCGTCCCACAAAACCTTGCTCTTTTCTTTTTTCATCTGTCTCAAAAAACATTTTTCATTTCTATTAAAAATATACTTTTACTTTTATCAATTCTTAACTCACCTATTACATCATATTAATTTACCAATCACATTTAAAGTATTTTTGGAAAGTCAACATCACCAAAATATACTTCTTCTAAATCCTTTAAAACTCAAAACCAGAAAGGTTTTGTTGGAAAGAGGGAGTATTATTTTTTAATTATGACTCATCTATATTTTTAGGGCACGTCTTATTTGTATTTGAATAGTTTTATGAGACTAAGAAAGTACTCTCTCTGTCCCATAAAGATAGGGACGATTTGACTAAAGTGGTAAAATAAGGAGAGATAATTTTGTGTTGACTTTCCAAAAATATTCTTGATGTGATGAGTAAAAGTAGGATGCGATGTTTAGATTATTAGGAAAAGGGTATGATGTGATAGGTAGGGTATGAAAAAATAAAGGGTAATGTAGTTTTTTAATAGAAAGAGTACATTTCCAAAATTGTCCTTTGTAATAAGGCATTTTCTCAATTTAGTCTTCAATAAGTTTTAATTATCTACATAGTCCTCTATAATATAATTGAAATCTATTCCCAAGATAGTTTTTCGTAAATAATGTTACTCAAATGATGATTAATTGTGAGATTTTTTTGTATTTTGATCATCTAAATTTAAAGCATATTTTCGAAACAATCATTTCTGTATAACTAAGTGTAAAATTTTAAAAATATATTGACTATAAACACTTCTGACTATAAGTAATGTGCACGTGTACATTGACATATTATCTCCATATTACCATGTGAATTCCTATTTCGGGGATAAAAACATGGAAATCTTATTTTGATACTTTTTCTATGATTTAATCTTATTTAGGGTGATTTCTATACATAAAATTAGTCCGTTGTAGCAAATGAAAAAAAAGGAATACATAAAATTGAAATTATAGGGGTTTAAAATAAAAAAATGATATTGAAAAAAAAAAATCCTCCAGCTGCGCGGTGCGCTGCTGCAACGGCGCCCACAACTCCCTTCTCGCCGCACCCCATGCCCGGCTGCGCGCCGCGCGCCGGACGCTCGCCGCGGCTTCCGTCCCGGCTCTTCTCCCTGGAATGGATATTCGTTGCTCGCCCTACCACGACGCGAGTGATTTTTAGAGAAGCATTGTATAATTTGTAAATGCCATTAGGCCAACAATTTGGAAACTTGTTTGTAATAAAAAGACTGAGTTAGGTCAAATATGGCGGTCATCAACTTTAAGCAAATCCAATCATTCCGTGGAAATCTTTTTGAATTGGTCAGATAGAGGCCATTGAAATTAGTGGCGTGCACCATGAGTAAACAAATAGATTGAAATAGATTAAGAATCTTAATTTGGGTTTTAAGATCGGTTCGGTCTTGGATCGATAATCTCATCTATTTCTTCTTCTTTAGTGAAAGACTCGCCTGTCCCAGAATAGGTGATCGTTTTAGAAAAGTTGATCGAGACTTGACTCAGATTAGATTTTTAATGTATTTGAAATATACTCCCTCCGTCCGGATTATATGTTCCGGGTTTGACTTTTGGTCATTTTTAGTGAGTGTTGACTAATGGGTTAGATTGCCCAAAATACCCATGCCCCCACACCAAAATATCTCTACAACCCTCAACACCACAACCACCCAATCCCCATCCCCACCGCCCCAACCGCCGCCGGAGCTTTCCGAGGAAACGGATCTGGAGGTGCAAATCGCCACCGCCGTCAGCTCCACTTGCCACCATCGCCACCGCCGACACCATCGCCGGCAACCCCGCACAAATGGATCTCTAAATTTTAGATCTGAAAAAAAAACAAGATCCAACTCTAATAGAAGAAGAAAATGACAAAAAGAAGGTTAGATCTAGCAAGAAAAGAATGGAAAGAAGAAGAAGGAAGAGGAGGAAGAAGATGACGAGGAGAAGAAAAGGAAGGGAAGAGGAAGAGAGAGAAAGAGTGGAAGAAGGAGGAGGAAGGAAGAGGAAGACAGAGAGAGGAGACCGGAAAGGAAGAGGAAAGGGGGAGGGAAGAGAGAGAAAATACCTGTGTGGTGCTGTGTGGGATGGCAGGCCAAGAATGACGAGAACGGATGAGAGAGGGGTAATTTAGAAAGATTGTGTATGAAAACGTAGACTGGGAACTTAAAATTCGGACGGAGAAAAGCGTAGAATAGGAACTTGAAATCCGGACGGAAGGAGTAATGTTTATACAAATCTTATTATACTCTCTCCGTTTTAAAACTATCTCCTCATTTCCACTTTTTTCTTGTCCTAAAACTATCTTTCCATTTTAAAAAAGATAATAAAATGCCTATTATACCCTTGTTATCTTTGCTTCGTCCAACCTTCCCACCATTAACATTTACGTCTTCCATGTCTTCCTTCTCTGGATTCTCTGCCTCTCTTCTACCTTCGCCAATTGACTGTCACTCCCTCTCTTAATCTATTGTGTTGATATGGATTCCATTGATTATTGTTATACATCTCTGATCTATTCCCTCCGCCTTTCATCCCTCCCTCAAAACCCTAGATCAGCACAGTTTTTTTTTTGTGGGAAAACTACAGCGAGGTCGGGTGGGCAAACTCCGCCGCTGCCTTCAATTAGAGTCGACCCAGATCTGTTTTCTCGATTGCCTTTGTTTTTCGAGTTTTGCCTTGAATTCTGCCGCTGCTTCCTCAAGATCGAGTCGTCAGTTAATAGGGTGAGTTCCTTTTTCTTTCATTTTTAATCCTTTTCTTCACTACAACGATGTAATCATGAATTAGTTTTCTTAGAATCGGGTGTTTTATTAGAAATCTTGAATTGCAATAAATGTTTAAAAGGATATAAAATTAGTTTTTTTTTTGCAGTGAGAAGGCCACCGCCAAGAAAACCGCCCCGCTACCGTCGTCGTCCCAATCTTTAGTGCCGCCACTAATTGCCGGAAGGGGGGCAGTTTTTTCAATTGTGGGTGTGGGCTTGTGTTTTCCAATTTTATAAGGAGGGGCATTTTTGGAAGGTCAAGGTCATATTTATCCCTTCCTTAAAAAATGAACTTTAGTCAATGTGAGAAAATCAATATAGGACGGAGGGAGTAATTTTTAGTTTAATATTTACTCGGTATATAAATATGTACATCCTATCAATATAGATAATACTCCTCCGTCATATATTAATTTTCTCACTTTTATTAAAGGTCATTTTTAAGGGATGGATATATGTCTTGACTTCCAAAAATACCCCTTCTTCCCACAAGCTCAACCTACTTCCATCCAATTCTTGAGTAAAAAAAAAATCGTTTCTCGGAAATAGCTGACGACTTTGATGGGAAAGATGATGGCAACTCGACGGCGACAACGGTCTCTCTTGGCACGGTGGCGATCACGATCTAAACAAAAAGCTTGACTTGAGAGAATTAGAGCATCATCTCGATGACTCGATCTACTCTACGTGCAACTTACTGTTCTAGGGCAGCACATCTAGACCTGCATCGATCATCATCATCGCCTTAGATTAGTTGATTTTTTTCTCAGATTTGGTAACCCAAGAAAAATCACGCTTTCATCCAAGAAAAGATCAGGAAAAAAAGAGAAAGAGGAACCCACACTGTAAACACATGACTCCTATCTGGAGCGGCTCAATCTATTCTCCATGTAGCTTATTGCTTGCTCGCAGGCGGCGGTGGGGTAGTTTGGTTGGTTTGGGTCACGGCGGCAAGTTCGCCCTTTGAATCGAAGCTCGGTCTCGAAATCTTAGAGTCGTTACATAAATTTGCAGAATCCATGAGAGAGAAGAGACACAATGATCGAGAGGGAGAATGAAAGAGAGATACTTATGTTCCAAAATTTAGGGGTTTTTTTTTGGATTTTAAGAGTTAATGAGTATTCAATTGAGATTTTAAAAATTTCTTTAAAATTTAGAGGTATTCAATTGATATTTTAAAATATCTTTCTAAATCTAATGATATTAAAAAATCAATAGATTTTCAAGAATAAAAATAAAACAGATTTTGATGGATTCTTAGGATGAAGTATAAATAAAAAAGATTTTTCCAAATCCAAAGAAAAGACTAGGGATTGTGTGGAATCCAAAAGCCCCCTTTTTTCTTCCCCTCATCTTCTCCACGACTCCACCTCCTCCTACGAATTTTCTTCTCTTCTTCCGCTCATCTTCTCCCTCTCCTCCTCCGATCCATTGGCATCTCCTCCTCCGTGAGCACAAGTTTTTCTCTTCTCCAACTTCCCTCTATCGTCGTCAAGCCTTCACGGTAAGATTTCTCTATCTCCAATAAACTATAATGAATTTCTTTTTTATTATGTATTTTTTTTGTATGGATATGGTCTTCCGGCTTGAGAATTGCATATTTGTTGTCTCCTCTTCAATCTGTTTTTTTCCTAATTTTTTTATTTTTTATCAAAAGAGTCAATTCGTCACTCTTGTTGCACTCTGTATTTGGGCTTGGCCTTTAAATAAGAGAAAAAAAGTTCATGTTGAGATATCCTGAGACTTGGTATTACAAAAAAAATGCCATATTTTTCAGTTGTCTCATTAGACACTGGTATTCTAACTCCACCCTAAGCTCTATGTTGTCTCCCTTGCATACACATGGGATGTTACAGGCAGTGAGAATGTGGGCTGGACAAAAATATCCCCAAATTTCAGAAACCATTGAAATTACTATTTGTTGAATAAGCTCAGAATATAACCTTGCTTGAATATCCTGAATTGGTGATGCACATCATATTTTTTTAAATAAAGATACTCTTTATTTTGTTTTGTATTAAATCAATATGAGCATTATTTCTTGAAATTTTTCTACTTTAATTACTACCTCCTTCCAAAATACATTAGGGAGTACAAATACTCGGGGGTATAACTCAAAATCCTACTCATTTTCTTCATTCTATGGAAAGTGTGCCTTCCAAGAACATAAAATGGAAGAAATTGATAGGAGCAATAATGGAGCACAATGAGTGTAGTGGGTGCCAAAAAGATGTTCACTGCCACTGATGAAGTATGGGCAGATTATTTCAAGGTAAAAGTATTTGAATAGATGAATCTTTTGATAAATGTAATGCAATAATAAATTTGTTTTTATGTTGTTTTATAGGCTCATCCAAAACATAATAACAAATTACGCTATGGAACATTTCATGATTATGAAGACTTGGAAATCGCAATAGGTAATGGTGTTGCTGTTGGAAAAAACTCAATTGGGTTAAGTGGTACAACTGATGCAAGGACATTAGGCGCGGAAGAAGGGAGAGATGTGCATATGGACGACCTTGATTATGACTTGGAAAATGATGCATTCATAAGCCAACCTCAAAGTGACCCACCTTTTCCGTCAGCATCACTGCTCATATCTCCTAAAAGTCATGAGGTTCCCATGCAAAAAGTAACACAAACCAAAAGAAATAGAAGCACATATGAAAAAAGTGGCGTCATGGAAAGGCTAAATGAAATATCTACAAGTTTCAAAGGAATCTATAGTCTGCTAGAGAAAAGAGAGAGAGAATATACAATTTGGGATGCCATCAAGGATACCCCGGGCTTAGATGAGGACACCAATTTAAAGCGGTTGAGTTGCTTGATAACAAAGGAAAAAAAGATGTCTTCTTAAAAATGTCACCTGAAGAACGGTTAAATTGGATACAGCGCAAGATGAGAGGATAAAATGAGAAGATATATTAGGATGAATGAAATGATTATGTGAATTTATTTTTAATGTGTTATGCGACTTTGTTTTGGCTGAAAGTTAAGAGTACTCGTGTTTTATTACATTGTTTTTGAGAGCTATATTATTTAATAATTTTATTTTTAATATTTCTTTGAATTTTTGAGTAATGTCATCTATCATTTGTGTTGTGTTTTATTTTTTATTGATAAAATTTTACATACATGAAAAATTGTTTAGAGAAAATAATGTTTTGAGTTTCAAAACAAATTTATTGCTTATGACAATGATCAATACATTATTCTATGCTAATAAATTTATAATAAGATAATAATGTTTAAAAAATAATATATTTTTATTTTTATTATATTAGTTTTAAATTTAATCTTTTTATCAATTTCATAAATATAATTAATATTAGAGTAAAGTATGAATCTTCAAAATAATTCAAATGTAATAATCCATGGATTATAAATAATCTACTAAAATCCTATGAAATCTTGGTGATAAAATCCAGTAAAATCCACTTAACTCTGCATAAACTCTAAATAATCCATAGATTTTAGAAAATCGACAGATTCTAAACAATCTATCAGAATCTTATAAAATCAAGATTGAATACACCCCCTTAGTGAAGAAGCATAAGTACAGAGTAAATGTGAAGCGAGCTGAGGTTGTTGAGGCATAAATGTGGAGGGTATTATTGTCATACATCTTTTTTTACAAGTGAGAAGGTAGTTTTAGAGGCTGTTTGGCAGTGTGTTGCTTTTAATCATTTAGCTTCTGCTTTGAGTAAAAGTGATTTTACTCTGTTTGGCATGTCCACTTCTGCTTTTCAACACCACTATTTTGTACATAGAACACCGTTTCGGAGAAGCAGGTAGGAGGTGCTTTTGCTTTCAGCTTTTGTGAAAATCACTTTATCAATAAGTTAATCACTCCCAAACACCCTCTTAGAACATGAGAAAAAAATGGAAAGAATAGAATATGTGATTTAGACATTTTTTCTTTTTTACACAAGATTCATCCACAATTTTTTATTGTTCTCAACATTTAATTTTTGTTAAAATATCCGTGAAAGTGAAACCTATTTTTTTTAAAGGACGAATGTATGAAGTTAACTTTTTTTTTAGGAATTTACTTAAATAGTATTCCCCGTCGAGAAATGTTCTTCAGATTTGACTTTTCTTGGTCAAAGTTTGTAAACTTTGACTACGATTTGTAGAAAAAACACATTGTATTATGATGTAAATTTAATATCAATATATTCATAATAAAACGTAGTATTCAAATATCAATTTTTTATAAAACATATTTATGTATAAATATAGATATTAATGGTCAAAGCATAATATTGGAGATCGTGAAAAGCCAAATGAGAAGAATATTTCCTGACGGAGAGAGTACTAGTTAAACATAGCAACTTTCCTAATGTAGTACCATATATTTTTATTTCCCAATTATACCGCTAGTCATTGTTCAATTAAATGTCCGCCATATATTGTTCTCACCACTAGACATTATTCAAGTTCTATTTAGAAAATAAAAAAGTTTTAATCCGACATTATTCCCACTACTAGACATTATTCAAGTTCTATTTAGAAAATAAAAAAGTTTTAATACTAATTGGGAAATTACATATCTTTTAGTACTATTTAATATAAATTTCACTTTTTTGTTAAAATAGTATGAAGTAAATGCTTCTAAAACGTAATCGTCAACATAGGATTAGCATTTTCAACAAACATTGACGTTTTAATTAATTTTATATAGTACAGATTAATTTTAAAAATACTAAAATTATCATTTGTGAATATTTTTATATATTTTGAATTTTTTTTTTTTAATAAATAAATTACATACATTAAAAACTATTGTTAGATGTTTTTTTTTTAAATACTGAAACTAATGACAACATAACTTATACGGAGTATAAGCAGTAACTTTTTTAATACGTTAAAAAGTTTATCAAGTAGACACGTATTTCCTCCGTCCCATAATAAATTACAATCTTTTGTGTGTTTTCATTAAATACTTTATAAAATAAAATATTCTTCATTTCTCGCTTTGTAAAACTTTAAACGTAGTTTTTAATATGTAATTTTTATTTCTTATTAATATATCATTGATGGTGTAAATTACCCATCCGGGTAAACAGTACTAGACCAGGTCTAAAATTGTTTACTGGATTCAAGATAGTAAAAGGTAAAAACACGCAAATTGTCCTAGTGGACTGTAGGTGGAAACACATATAGCCTAATTATTATTTGAATATAGTAGAATGTACGGAAGCTTTTACACGAGAATTTTAGTGAGAAGAAATCGGATCCCTTCATTTAAAGGTTATACATGTATTTATAGTAAAGGGAGAGGACAGAGCGCCGCGCGTCCACGTCGTCCCACGTTCCTTGTTGGTGCAAGGTGGCTTCCCTCCTTTGTCTCGTAGTATCTTGTCCCATTCTCTTGTCGTTTTGTGATGGTGACTCCTCGTTCGGTGCCTAGTTTCCAGGAGAGATTGATGATGATATTTCCCCAATCTCTCGTTGAAAATCGATCACTACTGTCCAAACATTTTTGGAGTTATTCGTGCTGACACTTTCATCGTAGAATGCTACCCGGTAGGTTTACCTTTTATGTTCTGAAGGATCAAAAGTTTGTCAGCTCGAAGTGACAAAACATGTCCGGTTGTTTAATGAACGGTAACGGTCAAATTTTCTAAAGCCAACAAGTTTCTTATTTAAGTTCAAATCTTTGAGGCTGTCATGTTCATTGTTTGACTGGTTATTTTACCCGGTCCGATTTCGAACCGGGTTGTGGGTGGAATACATCACCAATCATATTATAAATAAAATAGTTTTAAACGAAAAGATTTTACTTTGTAACTCTACAAATCATGGACGATGGGAACAATTTAAATAGTATAAGGAGCATGCTACATGTACCTTGAAATTTGTACCCCATTTATACACTAAAGGTATGTACCAACATTTTGATGGTTCACACTGGTACAAAGTGTTGGTGCGTTAACAAAAATTTGCACTGGCACAAAGTGTGGGTGCTTTAACAAAAATTAGTATTACACCTACACAAAATGTTGATAAATTCATGCGATGTACAAAATAAAATACAAATCCTTGAGCTACAAATAGCTTTATCCATACAAGATTGCAAGTCTCCAACAAACAAATTCAGACCAAAACCGAACCAGACCAAAATCCGAAACGCACTTTTTACGGTTTTAGGTAGGGAGAGATTCGTCATTTTGTTTTAATGGAGGTCACTGACAGAAAGTTAGGTCAAACTAACAGACGAGTACGTGGCAATCGGCCGAACTGCGCTTTACGCGGTGGGGCTATCGTCCGCCGTTCAAACAGTATCCACACTACCAATCCGACGGCTGACGTACTCGTCCACACACTCGGTCCGGTATTCCGCGTTCACAGGCGATCCGGACACCCCGTTTCTTCTCCGTCCCGCAGAAATTCGCCGCTCTGACCATTCTATCCCCGAAGGCAGCCTTTAATGGTGGAGGCCTTCACGGCAATCACATGGTAAATATTGAGGTTGCATCGGGGCCTTTTGGGAATGACGGCACTCTTTTCGGAAACGGTAACGTTTGGAAGACGGACGGCAACCGTTTGGTTGAACCAACCTAACAACTGCCTGCCACCACTACTTTTCTTCACACTTCTTTGCCTTTTACGGTTTACCAGTAAACCAAATTAAATTTGGAATTTGCCATTTTTTTAATTTTGTATTTATTTTATTATTCTCCCAAACTAATTGTTTATTTTTTAATCATCAATTTTTTTAAATTTATTTTCATTAATTATTTTTAAAAGTAATTATTCAAAATAAAAACATGAATTATTTTTTCAATGTATCTTATTTTAAAATATTATTGAGTGTATCATTATTTAAATAAATTTAATTTTGGAAAAAGTAACAAAAAAACGTGCGTGTATATATAAAACGCTATATGCTGCGTTATCTTTTCTTTTTTTTCTTTCTCTTTCTGCGGTTTTCTAGAGCCACACTTCTCTGTTCCCTCCCCCGTCTCTCTCTCTTTCTAGACGCCGGAAACTTCTCGTTTTCGCCGGCGACTTCCAGTTCGCCGGAGGAGTGAAATTTCAGACTTCTCGTTCGTGCTATCGCTGAGTACCGAAGTTTAGGATTCCGTGCACTCGCCTGGAAGAGAATTCGCGGACTCGGTCGGGGAATTTCCGGATCTCTGATTCCCGCCAAGTCCGCGCGGTTTCGAGATAATGTGGCGACACTAAGACCTTCTTCTCGGATTTCCTCGCCATAGATCGTGTCGCAGTGGCTCTTATTTTGGCGAAGTTCTAACTTAGACGAAGCCTTTGAGTACAGAACAACTACGGAATGAGATGGTATGTGATTTCTGTTTATTGTGAATATGAATGCGTTTGTACTTTTTTTTTACAAATAGTTTTGTTCCTTTTTCGTTTTTGGAATCCTATTCACTGAACAGTAAATATTTGTTAGATCTCTTACATTCTTCTAAATTTTTGGAAATCCATGGAGTTTACAGAAACAAATGCTCTGACTGCTATGCACCTTTGTACTCCGTATGTAGTTAGATTCTAAAGTTGTAAGCAGTTTTTATATTATTTCTGGAAACAATCGTTTTATTCTGGCCAGAGTTTGGATGCTATGTGATTTTGATCATGCACGAATTTGTAGTTTTATAAGAATCTGAGCAATTTTCCTTTTGACTTATAAAGTACATATCGATCTTTACTATTTGTGGAAATTAAAAATATTCAAGTTCTGTTCCCTTCTTTTTTTCCCGATCCTAACAGTGAAAAGTTTTTTGTCTATTAGCCCTGCAAGTTTATAGTGACGGCAATCAAAGAGGTGAATATTTGTTCTATCTTTTGGTGTCTATCAGCAGTAAATGCGGGTTCTCGAGGCCTAGGCTTTACTTTTTACTAGATATAAATGGACAACTTTTTTTATAGGTTTCAGGAACCTGCACTATTTATTTCTTTCCTGTCGAGTGTAACCTAATGATCCTCAATCAAATTCCTACCAAGCTATTAATCCTGCCGAGTGAACAAAAAAAATTTAATGCTGAATTGCTGACACGCTTTTTAAAAAGTAAATGGTGTGCCTATTAAACCATTCCTGACTTGCTATTTTTCTTTTAACAGCTTTAATTAAATATGTGTTTCTTGGCCTCTTGCTGAAATTTTTATGTCTGCACAATCTATCTACCCTAGCAAGAATTGATCACATATCTTACATCTATCTTTGGACAATGTATTTACTCAAACCCTCAAGCTCTCAGAAAGTTATACAATATTGTGTTATATGCACTCTGGGTTGAGTAATGAGTTCTGCCTGAATTTCTATTCTGCTAGAGTGCTAGTGTTAAATTGTTATCGAAGTTGAGCTAATTTGCATTGTGGATACTTTTTAAAAAAAGTGGGCAGATAATCTCTATTTTGTGTATGTACCAGTTATTGTATTGTAAATTAGTAGTGCTCGTAATCAAATGTGTGAGTGGTCTCATAGCTTCATTTCTTGTGGTAGGTGGAAAGAAAAGTTTGCATGTCAAGGGAGGCTAAGCTGGAATTTTTGAAGTGTAAAAAGCTTCAGCGGTTTAATCGTGAATCTGCGGGTGATTTCCCATGTGTCAACCATGTTACGGGCAGAGGTGGAGGTGATGCCCTAATAGAGCCTGCATCATGTGGTGTGAGAATCCATGGTAACTTACAAGTTGGTGCTTCATTGAATGGCAAAGATGTTTTCTCTAAGCATAGAGTGCAAAAGTTTGAGACATCAGATCTTGATTGGATTGACAGAATCCCAGAGTGCCCAGTGTATTATCCTAACAAAGAGGAATTTCAGGATCCTTTGGTTTATCTGCATAAGATCGCTCCAGAAGCTTCCCAATATGGTAATCTCATATTCTACGCTATGGATTCCTTCAGCACTTTTATATATCTATTTCCCATGCATGACTGGACTGCTTTTGAAGGGCATTATTATATACTGTAAACATTTAAACAAGTGCTGTATGGATTTTAACTTCTATGTTGTTGGGTGCTATGATTGAATTTTGTTCAGGCATTTGCAAGATAGTATCTCCCATCACTGCTTCTGTTCCTGCTGGTGTAGTTTTAATGAATGAGAAAGCTGGGTTCAAATTTACTACTAGAGTGCAACCTTTACGTTTAGCAGAATGGGATATGGAGGACAAGGTCACTTTCTTTATGAGCGGAAGGTTAGTAAATAATTCCTATATGGAATATAAGAAATCAGTCCATGTTATCATCTCATGCTTGGACTTATGGAAGAATATGTTTTTTCTTCAGAAATTATACTTTTCGTGATTTTGAGAAAATGGCGAACAAAGTTTTTGCTCGAAGATATTATAGTGCTGGATGCCTCCCTCCTGCATACTTGGAAAAAGAATTTTGGCATGAAATAGTTCGTGGGAAGACTGAGAGTGTTGAATATGCATGTGATGTTGATGGCAGTGCCTTTTCATCTTCTTCCAATGATGACTTAGCAAAAAGCAAATGGAATATGAAGGTGTCAAACTTGTAACAATTGTTTCTCTTGCTTCAATATGTTCAAATGTATAAAACACAATCGTCAAGATATACCATAACACGAGACTTTATAACAAAGCATTCCAAAATTGACCAACACACAGTGTTCATTAGTATGATTTTGAAAGCATTTGATGATTGATGTCATTTTTTCTTATTAAGAGCATGAAGTTGGTTCATGAATTCAAACACTTTTGAAATTGACTTGGTTTGTTTTGTTTATTAACATTGTTTTGCTTTATGCTACAGGGGTTTTCTCGGCTGCCCGAATCCATACTGCGGCTTCTTGATACAACGATCCCTGTAATTATTGCAATTTTACTGTTTAATTTTTGCGATATAAATATGAAAGGTTTTAGGGAGTTTCTAAGTGTTTTGATTTGTCCTCTAGGGTGTTACTGAACCAATGCTTTATATTGGAATGCTATTCAGCATGTTTGCGTGGCATGTTGAAGACCATTACTTGTATAGGTAAGTAATGACCATCTTTTCAGCATTGGAACGTGGGCATTGTCTATATTATAACTCTTACTCATACGTATAATACATCTACACATATACTGGAACTGATCATTATACTTACATATTATAGTATAAATTACCACCACTGTGGGGCAGCAAAAACATGGTATGGAATTCCTGGTCATTCAGCAGTTGATTTTGAAAAAGTTGTTCGAGAACATGTATACAACGGTGATATCTTGACAACGGATGGAGAAGATGGAGCTTTTGATGTTCTTTTGGGAAAGACAACAATATTCCCACCAAAGATTTTGTTGGAACATGATGTTCCAGTCTACAAAGCAGTTCAAAAGCCAGGGGAATTTGTTATAACTTTCCCTAGAGCATATCATGCTGGGTTTAGTCATGGTATGATAGAGTTTTTATTTGTTCTGGTATTTGAATCTAAAATGCATCACAATTGTATTAATAATTATTTTGTATTCATAGGCTTTAACTGTGGCGAGGCGGTGAATTTTGCAACTGCAGATTGGTTTCCTATGGGTTTGATAGCGAGCCGGCGCTATGCTCTTCTAAGAAGAGTGCCAATCCTTCCCCATGAAGAGCTTCTTTGCAAGGAAGCAATGCTTCTCTCTACGCTTGACGATGCTGTTGCGTATTCATTGGAAGACTTGAAGTCTCGCAAAAGTGTAAAAGTTTCATTTGTGAAATTGATGCGGTTTCATCACCGTGCACGGTGGGCCTTCATGAAATCAAAAGCATGCTCCGGAACATCATTAGTTACCCATGGTACCATTCTTTGCAGCATTTGTAAATGTGATTGTTATGTAGCATACGTCAACTGCACCTGCTGCTGGCATGTAATGTGCCTCCGCCATGGTAAGTTCAAAATGAATGTTTATTTATATATTCATTTTTTTCATCATGCAATTCCATATATTCTTCCAAACCTTAATGATTAGTTCGGCCTCAGATCCTAGGTCAATTGAATTGCCATGTGGCAGCCGTAGAATTCTCTGTGTAAGGGAAGATGTTTTGGAGAAGGAAGAAGCGGCTAAGAAGTTTGAGGAGGAGGATGATGCTGTACTGCATGAGTTTCAACAGCTTCGGAAAGGCGATGATGATTTTTCTTTCCTTTCAAAACTGTTCCCTGAACTTGAGGACAGAGCTTACATTCCTTATTGTGATCTGAGTCTAGAACTGACAGAGGAAGCAGAGGTTTTGAAAGGAGAAACAGTTTCTACATCTGGTGTTTCAAAAGAGTTTTTTTTGTCGATTAGAAATGTATGTCCCTTTGCACACATTATTAGCCTTCCGTCAATGTTTGTATTTCTTCTTGCTGACCGAAGTGTACTTGTTTATTTCAATCTAAACTAAGATTATGCTGATGGCAGGCCCATGAGCATGCCAATTCATCTACGCCGAACAATTTAAGGGATGGCATGGATATTCTCAAAGAACCTTGCTCTAACGACGAGTCTGATTCTGAAGTATTTCGTGTTAAACGGCGTTCTAAGGTGGTCCAGCAACGTAGCAACACCCCCGTTTCTTCTAATGAGCACCAGGTATTGGATTCTTGTTTAATTCAAGAGAGTGACAGTTCAATTGCCTTTCATTCAGTTTTGTAAACATTTCAATTTTTATAAGATAAAAATTAAGCCCAACCCCCCGTAACACTCCATCCACACAACCCCTAGGTGGAATGATAAAACTAAGATCATGGGTGTCGTTTTTTCTAACTGCATCAGAGTTTGAAGAAACATCGAGGCAGAAATCATGGAGAAGCCCAGCGGTATGCTGAATGTAGTGCCACCAGAGGTGTTGCAATGAAAAAGAATAACAAAGTGACACACGGCGGATTGAGGGAGAAGCATATGGTGAAGATGTCGAACCATAGGCTGATCCAGCAAAACCGTTTGGAAGTCAGAGGAAGACCGTCATTTTCATGAAACAAAGGTATATTCTGAAGTGGCTAACAACAACAACAACAACACGGTGTTCATTCATTTATTCATTGGTTCCTGAAATTGGATGTCAACCCACACAAATATAGGTACAGTAGTTAGTGCATCCATGGAGGAGCGTCAACGCTGATTAACCCAAAAACAGGTAGAAAAAGTTCAAAAAACAAAAAGAAACGTAGGTGCATTCTTTGTGTGGCCCCGTGTCCAAATGGGACGGGCTGCGGTCTAAATTCTTGGGTTCGCCACAAGCTATTCGATTTGACATTTAAATTAAAGCTCATTATTCTTTTTTTTTGGAGCCATCTAAGATTGTTACATTGGACTATCATTTTCAGACGATGATTAAAAGTTAGCTCAGTCGTCTTTTTCTTTAGCTTGACATGCTTTTCAAATTCCCTCTTTTTGCATCTTTAAGATTTTGAATTTGTTTGCTTTACCTTTTTTGGATAGGAATTCTTTTTTCTAAGGCCATATGAATCGAGTAAAAGTTTGTAATTTTAATTTCTAGAGCGTGACAACTTCTTTATACTATACTGTATACGAGAGTTAATGAAGATACAAAGTCTTGTTGAGAAATGATTATAAGTTACTCAACTCTTTAAGAATGATTGAAAACTTTCCCTGCAGTGGGTGTTATCAGTATTAAATTGGCTCTCAGATCTTAAAAAATGCAGATACTTTCTCCAACCGTCCACATTTCCAATACATATCGATAAGCGAAGTCCTCAAAGAATCGTCTCGAAACCTACCGTCCCTTATGACTTTGCCGTGAATCTGTCTCCCTACTTCAAAACTAACCAAACAAGACGCCAGCTTCAGCGATATCGAATACGTGAGTCTGTTAAACGCCGGGCGTCCGTGTCTAGACAATTCATGCATCATTTCCAACGCGCGACCCGCGAACCCGTGCACCAAAAGCCCGCTCATTATTATGTTCCAACTCGACGTGGCTTTTACCTCCATTGTCCGGAAGAACTCCACACACCTCTCCATGTCTCCCATTCTTACGCGCCCCGCCAGCATTATGTTCCATGACGAAGCATTTTTACTGTCCATTGTTCTAAAGAACTTCTCTGCCCACCCAAACTCGTCGTGCTTCACATAGAAATCAAGAATGGCATTGTCAAGAGCAGTGTCTGCTTCGACCCCACGAATGACCATCCAACAATGGAGAGCCTTTCCTTTTCTCAGCCCATCCCCGACGCCGGAACCGCAGCACTTCAAGACGCCGAACAGTGTGAATTTGTTCGGGACCACGACGCCTTCTTCCAGCATCCTCGAGAAGATGCCCAGCGCTTCTTGACACGACCCGGACCGAGCCAGGCCGGAGAGAATTATCGTCCAGGACCGGACGTCTCTGTGGGGAAATTCGTCGAACAGCTTGCGGGCGGAGTCTAAGCGGCTGCTTTTGGCGTAGCGAGTCAAGAGACAGTTGCGCAGATGCAAGCTCCGGGTTAACGACCCGTCTTTGATCGCCTTGGCATGGTGTGCTGCAGCAGGAAGAGAGCGATTTGGCGAAGAAGAAGACGACGAAGACGAGTAATGGAGAGGATTTGGGAACTCTTTAAGCTTCCTGGTAATGAGCGTGGTAGCGGAGCGTGCAGAAACTGAAACATTATTAAAGAATAAAATATCGAGAAAATTCCTGCTTCCTGTCATTTCTGGTGATGTTGAATTTCGTGGGATTGTCTATTACTCTCTTAGCAGTTTAAGCTCTATGTGTTATGATGGAATGTAAATGAGTATGACGTGGAATAATAGAAAATACTTGTGGTGAATGTAAAAGAGTGTGAAGCTCTATGTGTTATTCCTTCAGTCCCACAAAAAAGTTTCTATTTTGAATAGTATTTAGTCAAATATTTATACGCTTTTATTATAAATTGTGAGAAAAAGTATATTCAATTTTGGAATAAATTTTATATAATTAGATTCATCTTAGGATCTAGTTTTGATATCTCAAATTTTTTTAGCAATTCTTTATTTAGATTACATTTAATTTAGGGTCAAAGTGTGCATCAGTTTGACCAATTTATGGTTAAAATGGAAACTTTTTTGTGGGACGAAGGTAGTATGTGTTAAATTTCAATTGATTGAAATATAAATAAAATAATGGGAGAGGGATTTTCTTTTTCCTTTTTTCCGTAAGATTGCATCCAGGATTGTAAATGAATTGAATAATTTTAATTTGATTCGTCATTCGTATTCGTTTGTATTGATTCATATTTGAAAAAAAATTAAATTTGAATCCGAGTGGTATTTTTTATTCGTTACACTGACAAATACGAATATATCCATATTTGAAATTTAAAGAAACATTTTCGAAACAGTGCGTCGAAATAGTAAATATTACTTTCTCTGTCCCAAATTAAGTTACTTGTTTACTATTCATAGAATCAAATTTTATTTATTTTCTTTCTCTGTTTTCATTAGTCATTTGATAAAATAATGTATAGTCATGTTACCACCACATTTGTAGATCTTTGAGTTTAGTTTTTGAGTATGTAATTTTTATTTTTTAATTCTACATTATTTTTTATATAAAATGATTTGAAAATAATTTCAGTCAAACATCGTAAATCGAAACTAGTGATTTGAATTGGGACGGAGAATAAAAAAAATGAATAATGTGTTAATGAATTACTTCAAAATCAAATGTATGTTTTTATTTTAATCTTCAATATGTAAATTATGCTTTAAAGTTTTTTCCTTAATAGCTAATTCCAAAATATATCAATTCAAAGAGTTTTGGAAAAACATAGTGTAATATATAATAATTTTTGTAAGAATAAAATTAAATATTTATAAGATATTTTAAAGTTTAAACGAACTGGATACTTCCTCCATCCTAAAATGTTCTTTTTGATTACTATTTAGACGGTCAAACTTTAATTAATTTATTTGCCTATTTTCATTAGTTCTTTGATAAACAATATATTCTTGTCACCTATTGTTTTGTAGAACTTTTGATGTTGTTTTTAAATATATAAATTTTATTTTTTATTTTACACCTACAATTAAATAAATTAAATTAAAAATAAAGTTAGTCAAAGCTCGTAAACAGAAACGGGAATAACATTTTAGGACGGAGGGAGTATTTCTAAAGGAACCGAATTCTTTTAAATAAAATGAGTTTCTTATGTACAATAAACGAATCACATACAAATCTCTAAAAATATTCGAACCAAATGAGAATACGAATACAAATATCATCCAAGATTCAAGATTAGCGAATACGAATAATATTCATCATGCACATTCCTCTTGATACAAACAAATTTGTAATTTTAAAAAAAATGAGAATGAAGACTATGTTGTTTTTGAATGATCATATTTCAAAATAAACACTATATTGAGTACGCTTCAAAAATGAACATTACAGTTGAAAATGAATTTTATTCATTTAAAATGAATTTAAAAAATTTTCTAGAATAATTCCAACTTTAACCGGTCTTTAAAAATAATTTCATATTTTACTGTGATGCACAATAGTCCCAACTTTACTGAAATTTGCGAGTTTTAAGTTATCGTTAAGGTTCTAACGACGAGTTAACGAAAACGGTTTGTTTTGCACAACAAAATGAAAGTTGAGATTATTACTGAAAAATTTTCATTTTTAATTCTAAATGTCATTTAAATTTTTAAAATGACTTTCTAATTCCATTTCTTTTTGTTTTTTTAAAGATTAATCTTACCTAAAAAAATAAAAAATAGATATAAAAAATTAAAAAATGAGAAAAGTAACTAAAATCATACAAAATTAATGAAATAAATAAGGTAATCAATAGAAATTAAACTGAAGCTGGTAAGAAATAAAATAAAAATATAAGGAATGAAGGTTTCTAACATTAATGTACTACTTATTTTTTGAAAAAATGAGGAAAATTGAGATTATTCTAGATAATTTTTCATAAAAATAAGAAAAAGTGATACATTAATGCTATGTATAGTGCGTAAAATGTAAAAATACACCACTCTGTATATTTTTATTTTATTTCTTATCTATTTCAAAATAATTTCAATTGATTACTTTATTTCATTAATTTTGTATAATTTTAATTATTTTATATATCTATTTTTTATTTTTATCCAAATTTAAACTAATCTTTAAAAAAAGAAAAGGGAATGACGGAGGTAGAAAGTTATTTTAAAAATTTAAATGAAGTTTTTTTAAAAAATAAAATTCATATAAAAAAATTCCAAGCTACATTTTATTGCACAAAAGCGACCATTTTGTTAATCCACTGCTAGTAATTTAAAGGCGACATAAAATTTACGAATTTTTGTAAAGTTGAAATTATTATACTGCGGTACATCACATTGAAAAGTAAAATATTTTTGAAAGACAGTTGATATTATTCTAGATAATTTTTAGAAATAAATACTTCTTCCGTCTCTATTTTGATTAAAATTGCGAAAAACGAAGAAAAATATCGAGTTTTTTCAATTATTTTATTTAAAGATAGAGACATAAATAAAAAATAAAAATTACATATTTAAAAGACGACACAAATGTTTATTTTTATAAATTAATTAATGAAAATACACAAATAAATAAAAGAAAGTTATGCTGATTTTGGAATAGTAGTTTGAGAAATTTACCTAAATAGGACTAAAACATAATGACTTTCTCAATATAAGACCATATGTTTTTATTTCCCAATGTAGGACTTTTGGTCATTATCATGTAGTCATTATTCAAGTAAATGTCCATCATTAGTTGACATTATTCTTCCCACTAGGTCATTATTAAGTCTTATTTAGAAAATAAAAAAGTTTAAGTCATAAGTGAAAAAGTATTATGCTTTAGGTGCAAATTTTACTAGTAACTTCTCTAACCAATTACTCCGTACGAACTATTATCCCTTTTACATGTGTGTGGTTTCCATTCTTCACCATTCAGCCTTATCAAGTGGCTGGAAGTCTGGAACAACATCAACCATTGTCTTCTTCGTCAATGGCTACTTCCTCACCAGCTGCTCTCTCGTCATTGTTCTGCCACAACATTGAAATCAAAACTTCCCAAATTTACTTTCCACCTTTTTGTGCCTCATTATCAAATCACAAACACTCGAGTCCCATTTCATGCCCTTCATTGATTAAACGGCGTTTGGCTTCTAGCAGTTCTCCGGCACCAACTCGCCTCCTTTGCACCTTTTCTTCCTCCTCAAACACCACTAAACTTGAGGTATGCCTACATTTACACGTCTCTGGAATGATATGAATTTATATCCATTTGGAATTCAATTCAATTTCATGAAACCCTAGTTGTAGGAACAACGATTCGAGCAAACTGATGAGTTGCAGATGGTAGGCTAGACGTCACAGATGGGACAAGAAATAAACGAAATGCAGATGTTCGAAACGAGGAATTCATTTGCAATTTGCACTTATTTGATGGAATTTGGTATTAGTTATTATTAAATCTGTGGAACAGGAGTTTGGAATTGGAAGTCGCTTGCAAAAATATATTTTGGATTCCAAACTTAAAATTTTTTGAATGGCAAAAGAATTCCACAGACTTTTTGGAATTTAATCATAAAGAAATTCCATATTCTTGCTTCATAAGGATGTGGGTCGTTAAAATACAACAAGTAGTGTAGATCATCCATAGTTTCGTCTCATGCAGCGAACTGATCTTTGACCGATTATGTTATGCAGAGCAAGAAAACTCACGTCTGTCAGCTTCAAGTGCCAGTGATGAGGATGATTAGGTGGATGTGTGGTCATAGCCTCGGATAGATAAGATTTGGAATGAGGTTATTCGGGGAAGAGTGAGAGTGGTTCCAGTGGAGGCTAAACTGCGACATGTGATAAGCTAGGTTAGGTGGTTGGGGCACTTAATGAGGAGATGTGCAAAGACTTGAACTAGGAGATGCGTGAGGCGGTAGTGGGTGTGAGTAGGGATAGAGGTAAATATAGGAAGAGTGTGAAGAAGGTGATTAGACAGGACTTAAGACTTCATCATGATAATACTGAGGATATGACATTAGATAAGAATACCATGAGAGCTAGGATTGGAGTAGTTGTGTAGACCTTTGGGACCTAGTTTATATTATTGCTGCTATGTTTTCCCCTTTGAAGGTAGCTTGTGCTTGTGTGCTTCTTGTAGTTTTCTGTGCCCAGGCTCTTGCTGCTAGTGTTAGTATGCGTGCTTCTTGTGTTTGTGCTCTTACTTTGTTTGTCCTATTGTATTTACTTTGTCTCTCCTTTTGTGTTTTAATTATGTGTTTGAGCCGGGGCCTTTTGGAAATAGCATCTCTACTTTCATGTAGGGGTAAGGTTTGTGTACACACCCTCCCTAGACCACACTCTTGTGAGCTTTTATTGGGTTTGTTGTTGTTGGAGTGGACTGATCTTTATATGTTGGTTACTTGGTTTATGTCTTAATTTTATATGTTGGATTCCCACATGAATATCAAGAATATATGCTTTTGATGCGTCAATATATGACACTTCTTAGGGCCTTCTTATGCATAAGTAGGGGGCGAGTTTTCTTAGGTCCTTCCCTTGCATAAGTAGGGGGCTTGTAAGCTAGTTACAATTTTTCGATTACCAATCTCTCAATTTGAGGGACTTGAAACTGGTAAGGCGAAGGCAGAACCTACCGTACTCATGATTAGTTACTATTCTGCTGGAGGACACTACCCTACTGTAGGACTATTTAGGTTTTTACCTTGTTGAGACACATCAAGGTGATAATTGTTCTTTGGAATCAGAAGGCAGCGGTTTCTCTAGTGAACAGAATAGTACCTTTCTAACATCAGTTATGCTATTACGTTACTCTAAGACTAAGCAATCAAGACAACAAGTGACATACATAATGGTGATTTTTTTTGTGTAATCAATATTCCATACCATCACCAATATTCAGATGACTCTTCTTGTGTTACACTTTATTGAAATTACCATTACTGAAGTCTTTGTCAGTTAAAGTGAGATCCTACATTTTTACTTTTATGTTGTAATATTGCATGCATGAAGTTGAGATTCGATTCTTCTAAAGATTGTCTCCATCATTGATTTGTCTGGTGCCTTCTACTTATAATTATATATATTTTCTAATGTGATCTTGACATACAATGAAAGCTGATTACTATTTGTCAATAACCAATCCCTCCATTTGAGGGACTTGGTATACGCAGGGTAGAAAAGCAAGCCTATGCTAGTTCTATAACAACTTTACTAACTTTTCTAGCCTTTAAAGCAAATGCATAAAAAAAGACCTGATTTATACATATATCCATTATATATCAACAATATATCATGCATCCTCTGTCTCGCTATTCCCGTTACAAGTTGGAATTCCCCAACAGGAGGGAGAAAGTATGTCCTACTCCCTCCATTCCAAATTAAAATTTCACTTCTCTTTTCTGTCCGTCCCAAAACAAAATTCGTACTTCTCCACTACCCTTTTCAAGAATGGAATATGTGGCTCCTAACAAGACCATCTCTTCCAAAAAAATCCAATCACGCACTTTTTACTTTTCAACATTTTTTCTTAAACTCCATTAAGTTCAACCATGAAATTAATTCAGGGACGAAGGGATTATATTTTTGTGACAGATTTTAAACTTTAGATGCTCTCTCTATTTCAAAAGTATCTTCTCGTTTCGGTTTACGATGTTTGTATTTAAATTACTTTCGTTTCAATTTATTCAAATAGTAGTACAAGATTTTAGCCAACCCCACCTAGTGGGATAAGGCTTTGTTGTTGTTGTTTGTTGTTGTAGTAGTACAAGATTTTAAAAAAATATTTATATATTTGCTATACCAAAAGTTCTACTCCCTCCGTCCCACAAAACCTTTCTCCTTTCTTTTTTCATCCGTCCCAAAAACCCTTTCTCATTTCTATTAAAAAGTCACTTTTACCCCTACTAATTATTAATCATCACAGCACACTTTTTCATTATTAATCTACTCATCACATCCTACTTTTACCCATCATATACAAGGGCATTTTTAGAAAGTCAACATCAAAATACACTCCTCTTAAATCCTTTAAAAATCAAAACTAGAAACGTTTTATGGGACGGAGGGAGTATAAAACAAGATGTGACATGACTACTTTATTTTAACAAATGATCAATGGAAATCTTTTGGTAGGAAAGAAAGTATGGTTTGATATTGTGAATAGTGAGCGAGTTTTTTTTGGATAGAGGGAGTATTTATTTAAAAAGATTGCTAAAACTGATTTTAAAGCTAGTAGTAAAAGTAAATTGAAAGGTGAGGGATAATTGCTATGATAAGGATGTTCAGATGGTATAAGCATTTTATATTTTTTTTTTTTTTGCATGATCTGTATTTGGTTTCATTTCCTAAATGATTTTGAACCAGGCCAAATGTTTTGATGTCGAACAAATCGTAAATATTGCAGTTTATAGATGGTTCGTCTGAGGTGGAGTTGCGACTTGATCTTGGCAATGGAGACATAAGCTCTAAAGATATATTTGTTGATTCAAATGAGAGTTCTTTAACTGTTAGGGTGCAGCAGGCTGGATTATTCCGAACTCTAATGGATACCAGAGTTCTATATGAGAGGATAAAGCCTGCTGAGACAATATGGTCTGCATGATTAATCATTTCTGATTTTCTGTTTTTCTTATTAAATTAGGGAATAATATTTTTTCCCCAAGTTCTTGATGCACTCAGGTATATAGATGAAGATCAGCTGGTTATTAGCCTGAAAAAACAAGTTCCTGAAGTAGAATGGCCTGACATCGTGGAGTCGTGGAAATCCCTAACCGCAGGAGTTAAGCAACTTCTGAAAGGAACATCGGTATACATAGTTGGAGAATCTACAGAGACCAATCAGAGGATTGCCCAGGAACTAGCTGATGGTCTTGGGTAAGGGCATCTCTTGCCTGGCTATATATGTCGAGTTCTTTATTCACACTCAGTTTTGATCCTGATGGAGGTTTTGTACTTTTTGTTTGGATAGAGAGTTTTGAAGGAAAAAGACTTTGGAGGAGTTGGTCTCTAACTCTATAGCTTGATATTTTTTTGAGATATTACTAAATTTAAAGATTAAAAAAATGTATGCAATCATATAACATTTCAATCACCTTTTATTCATTTTTATATACTTCGTACATTGTATTTATCAAGATATACATACACCAAGTCATCCAAAGTTTTTCATCCAAACACTGAAACACACCATCAGCCTCTCCATAAATCGTTCTGGTTTTCAGGTATACTCCACTCAGTACAATGGAGTTGTTGGAAGCTTATGCCAAGGAATCCTTTGATTCATGTCAGTTACTCCCTCCATCCCACTATTTTTGTCCATTCCACTATTTTTGTTTCGTATCATATTTATTAAGATTTTGTAGCTCACATGCATTCCTACTGTCTTACCTTTTTTTATTTTTTTAACATCTGTATCAATCAGGCATGTCCATACTGTTTGTTATACAAAAGAACCTATTTTAAGCACCATTTAGCACAATGTGCAAATTTAGGCTTTATCGAGCCATTTTCATTCTCTCTCACATTTTTCTCATGCTAGAAACATGTCCATTCCATTCGTGGTATGCCTTAAATGTGTTCCTCACTCCCATTTCTGACAGATCTTAGACAGAATGGTGTTTAAGTTCTTACCCGTCATGCTCAATAGGTTTGTTTGAAATTTGATAAAATGTTACGAGTACCACAAGCATGAAAGAGAGAGATGTCAGATTATAGTGTTGGCTTAGATTATTTTAGTAATCAAATTCAATCTTTTAGTGTGGTTTGACATATATGCATTATGACCTATTTGAATGGCGTCGGCCCAATTATGATTTTTGTTAAAAGTCAAGAGGCTTGATGTGGCCAACACGACATGCTCAAGGGCTTAAAATGTGGGTCGCTCTGTTTGCAAGTCATTGTTACAAAATAGTATGCTATACAAGTTTAAATATCTCAAGCATTGGTTGATATTAGCAAGACTGTATGGTTGATATTGATGTTAAAAAGTAAAATAAAGTAAGAATGACACACACATATGACCAAATATGGCATGGGACAAAAATAGTGGGATGGGCAAAACAGGTAAAAAGGGACAAAAATACTATGACAAAGAGTATATCTTATTCCGTATATCTTAAGCAATTATTTAAAGAATAGTCATATCTTCTACTCCGTAGTATGCATACCAAATAAATGGTAACACCGCTGCTAATGCTCTCACTATGTTAGGGGCAAGCAGGGAGGGATCCAAGACCGTTGAAGAGGTAGAGAGTGCCATATTTGAAAGCCTTAGTAGGTATATTATATACTCTCGTCCTGTAAAAATAGTTGTATTTCACAAAGGTACAACCTTTATTTTAATAAGGTATAAAAATTGTTGAAAAGGTACAACCTTCATGTTTCAGTCACACGCGTGCTGTAGTTGCAACGTTAGGAGGAGAGATGCACGGTGCTGCTCGAAGAGCCCATCGATGGAGGCATCTTTTTGCTGGGTTCACAGTCTGGCTATCTAAATCTGAAGCTACAGGTAACAGTGTCACACATAACACCTTTTTATCTTATTAATTAACAAAACTTGTATTGAAGAGTGTCCTACATCAGCTAAATATGACAATAACAAATGAACCCCTTAATAAGTGTTATTGCAATTGCCAGTTGCCCATCTCTTTACAACCATTTTGGAGTTGATTAATTACATTTTTGCCATAATATTGCAAAACCAACATGCACTTGAAGGAATATGACCTCATTCGAATTCCATCGTTAGACACTTTATACTAAATCCAGGGTTTCTTTTTGGTTTTCATGGACTTGTAACACAGATAAAGATACAGCAAAAGAGGAAGCCAAAAGGCTGATGGAAAGTGACCTTCAAGGTTACTCTAATGCAGAGGTAGTTGTTAAGCTTGAAGGTTGGGATCCCGCGTGCTCCTGGAGAGTTTCTCAAGCTGCACTTAGTGCCCTAAAACAGTTAATTTTGTCAGATAAAAACCTCACAGGTACTTTGCTCTCTCTACTCATAGCTATGACTTGGTGCCCTCAAACAATTAGTATTTGACTGCATTGGTTGAATGGATTGATGAGGAAAAAGGTAGTGCAAAAGGTACGTTTTTGTGTGCAGAAGTTACTTAAATGAATGAGAATGACACTTTTGAGTTTCGCCCCATTTTTAGAAACCATTTAATTTGAAGTATTACTCTCTAGAAAAATACATGTTTTTGCTTAAAATTTATCAAGTTGAACCTCAATATCATCGAGTTTAACAAGTCCCTTGAATCGTCTCAGCGTAATTAAATCTTACCAAAAGAGGCTCTTAATTTCCAATGCACATTGGCGGGATTGAATGTGGACCATCTTATATGACATGATTTCATTAACTTTTTTTTTACAGGTAAAAAAAGTTTATATGTGAGATTTGGGTGCCGGGGTGACTGGCCAAATATCAAACCCCCAGGTTGTGATCCATCAATAGTTTCTCAAGCTTCTTCTTCTTCTTCCCCTGTGTTGTAGTATTATTGTTGCCTTTTTGTTGTCATAAACGTCATGTTTTGTAGTTTTGGCTTTTACTAAAGAGAAAATTGAACAGATATGGTCACTCAATTACTCTAATTGATGATTGTTAGCCTTACATAGTCTAACAATGATGCCAATCTGGTCTAATCTATCTCCAATTGTATGCCATTGTATTTTTAAAAGATTGATAGGTTGTGTCATGTGGTAAAGAATGAGTTATTTGACTCAATTTTTTCTCTCTCCTCTGCGCTGCTCTGCTTTCTCCCGTTGTAGCTTGTAACGGCTCTTCCTTGGAATAGTCGCCGGCGCGTCGACCCTCAGCGTTCGTCCTTCCTGCCGGCGGTGTAGACAGTCGTCAAACGGCGGCGGGCGGCGGCGGACGACGGCGGACGACGGCTAGGAGCACAGGTAAGTACACATCCACCCACACCCCACCCCTTCTCCAGACCTAACACTCCCAGATCCGACCCTAGACGCCAACCTCTGCCGGTCACCACCGACCCCCTTATCCCAGACCCGGAACCCAGCCACCCCCACACCCACCCAGAACCGGAACCCAGCCATCCACTCGCCGTCGACCAGAACCCGAACCTCCTTCACGGATTGCTCCGTCCCCCGACCCCTCCTTCCTCCTTCCCCCTCAATCACCAGTCCCAGCTACCGCCTCCGACCAGTCCCACCCGCCGGCCGCTTCCTTCGCCGCCGGCCAGTCCCCAGACACCACCACCAACACCCCCGCAC